TCAATCTAAATTACCTATACACAGCTGTCTGGCTCTCTGCCAAGGGCCGGTGTTTGTGGGGGGGTTGGGTCGAGGGGTTGGGGAGCCTCACAGCAGTGCCTAATAAACTACTGCTTCCTCTTAACTTTGAATGCTAGAGCCTGAGATGGTTCACAGTGAATAACTTCAACCGTGTCTGTATGTAAGAGAATTATTTGTTGGGGCATGAGAAATGAGCTTTTGTAAAACAAGACTGTTTGTGGTTTATGACCAGCATATTATGGTATAAAAGGGTGTGCTAAGATGAGGAAAATTGAGTCCTCATACCAATTTACCTACTTTCTTACCATGTAACCTTAGGGAGGTAATTTATGCTTCCTAAGCCTCACTATCCTCATCTAAAATGCTAAAAACCTACAGAATTTCTGGGCACAACCAAAAACACTAGAAATAGTCTTCTCATCTTTTGCTAACTGTGAAAAAAATAGGTCTCCAGCTCCCTGTTCCTTTGATGCTAATCAGGGCTAGCTAGTACAGCGATGCTTTATGTACTACAGTGAGAAAGGAATGAACGGACCCCTAGCTTCTTGTTCCCTGCCGTCCTTTACACGGAGGACATGAAGGTTCATATCATGTTTGGGGAACCGCAGGTGGTCCACTAGGGCCACACTATAGCATTCAGAGCGAGAGGGGGCAGGAGACCAGACAGGAAAGTGAGCACTGCCTGGCCCAGGGTAGGTGATAAAAATAGCTAGCATTCATTGAGTGGTTATTCTATTTCGAGGACTGCACCAGGTGCTGTACGTGCTTTACAGGTCTCAAGACAATTCTATGAATTTATACTATTATTATCTCCATTTTAAAATAAGAATTGTCTATGGCCATACCACCCTGAGTGTGCCCAATCTTGTCTAAAATGAAGAACTGAGGCTAAGATAATTTGAATAACATCCCCAGATTTCATTAGCCAGCATGTGTCAAGCTCTTGCAATAGTTCTGAGAAATGTTGACAGCTGAACAAACAGGGCAGCAGCACAAGAGAAAGAAGAGACTGAAGCAAGAGATGCCGTAGATGTAGAGCTAACTAGATTGATTCTCGATGGGAACCAGAGAAAGGGGGATTCATTAAGCCCATCAATAAATATTCATCAAGCACCTACTGAATGTCTGGCACCGTTCTAGTTTCTGGGGATACTTCATGAACAAAGCAGGCAAAAATTCCTGTTCTCGTGAAGTTAACATTTTAGCAAGGGAGACAAACTATAAATGAGATCAATAAGTAAAATAGAATATTGGGTAGTGATAAGGAAGAAATAAATCAAACAGGGAAAGGAGACGTGAACTATGGTGAAGAGGGCAGTCAAATTTCAGATAGGATAGCCAAAGAAGGGGACGAAACTGGGAGACGGAGAGCAGCCACTGAGAGGAAAACGAGTTCAATCTTGGTTCTACTGATTTTAAGATGGCAGGGTGATATCCAAGAGATTTCCTGAAAGCAGCTGGAAATTTAAGACAAGGGCTGAGACTGGAGACTTGACAGTCAACAACATAGAGATAACAAATGAAGCTAAGGAGAAAAGTGGAAAGAGGACTGAACTTTGGAAATATATATAAGATGCAGAAAGAAGGAGCATTCTTTGATTTATTAGAGACACTTCCTGACCTGGGAGCAGAAACTCGAGCCTTTGCCTCATTTCTACCTCCTTGCAAAATTAAACTAGGCTCTAGAATGAAATACTCTGAATGTCCTCATGCTAAAACTTCTCTCCTTTTCCCCATTTCCATGTTTCTTGGAATGACCCTATGAAATATACACTGTTCTAATCCCCACTTCACAGGAGAGGAAAGAAGGCACAAAACATTTAAGTAACTTGCTTAATAATATCCCACAGTTGTGGGGAGAGCGGTGTAGAAAGAGAAACACACTTGAATATGTTTGGAGGTGGCAGATGCAGGTGTTCTGGGCCCCAGGAGGAGATCAGGGGCTGCTAGGATTGGAAACCAGGGAGCCTGGCCCAGGGTGCGAGCTCATAACCACTTCACTATGCTCTTTCGCTTACACACAGTTACATATTCACACAGATGCACGTGTAACTACAAAATACGTGGCTAGGAAGAAA